TGGGTCCGCCATTTTAAATTTTGGAAATCTGACATCAAATTCGAATTCAGCGACCCCAAAAACCTTACAATTATTATATCCATTGACACTCAAATCGAATTATGTTTAGTATTTTTTTTTTCTAAGGTGGACAAAATTTCTGGACATAAACATGGGCCATGGACTGTCAAGGGGTTAAACGAATTTGAAAATAACACTTTTAGCATAGAATAAAAACATAAAAAGAAAGAAAAGTATAAACTATTTTTAAATTATTATCTTAAAGGAGGATTTTAGTATTTTTTTAAAATGACTAGAAAATTTCTTATTAAAAGCAAAAAAACAAAATTCAAATTTTTTTATTTTGCGCGCACATTTAAGGCTTTGGCATATCTAACGTTTAACGAGAATTAAATTTCTTATACAAAAAAAGAAAAAAAAATTCTCTATTTTTTTATTCTTAATTTTAAAAACGACCCAATGTCCCAAAAATTGCTTAGACGTTTATAATGAATCTAGATGAAAGATAAAATTAATATCTTATAAAGATATGTTTTCTGTAAATACTCTATATATATATTAATTCTAGAATTATAAAAAACAATATTGCTGAAAAAAATTTTTTTTCTTTTTTTTGACTTAATTTTCTTTATACATAACCTAAAAACATCTAATTTTCTTCAGGACATGAATCGTGATTATCTATATTCAAGAAACTTTGTTTTTTCTACTAATATAACAACAAATATCAGACTATTCTACTCTCCTAAAATTTGTCTATTATATAAATTGCTGTCCTCACTACTGAAAATTAATTGATATTGTGCTTAAGTCTACAGAAAGAATCGAATTTCCTAGCTATAGACAATGAGTCATGATTGATTTCTTTTTTTTTTTTTTTTTTTTTGAAGTAATGACTTAAATGTTTCAACTGAAACATTTGTGACAATTATATTTATTATATGAGTAGAATATTTTATACTTCATACACACGGAATCTATAGAAATTCAAGATTATATCTTATAAATAAATGAGTTTTATCAAAAATTGTATGATGAATTTGGTATAAAAACTAGGCACGGTGTAGAATTGAAAAATAAAAGGGAACATCGATCGATCCTCTAGCCCTAAAAAAAAAAAATTTCTTTTTTCACAACTGAAAAAGCCTTTTTTTGATCTTGGAATTTGCTTTTCAGTGCAAGTTTTTAGGTGTAATTTTTTTTCGGTGTGTGTGTGGTACGTGTTTTTTTTGCCAATAAAAAGAGAATGTAAATTTAGATTATTTTTTAAAAAAGTTTAAATATTTAAGAAAACATTAATGTGTTTATATATAAAAACTTTATAATTTATTATATATATAAATTGTGAGCAAAAGTCACAAAATATATATTTTTTTTAATTCGTTAATATTATAATATTAAATTTTATTATAATAAATTATTTTTCAATAATTAAAAATTTATTTATTAAATTAATTATGTATATATCATTAATTAGACATTAAAGTTAATTGATATAAATATTGTCATTATAATTTGTAAAATACTTTCAAATCGTGAAATATGAAAATTTTCTAAAAATCATACATGAATCTGAATTTTTCTATAGTGTTTACAAATTTTTTATGGTCGAATTTCTATTTGACCAAAGATTACAAAGAAAAATTTATTTTATTATTATTATTATTATTTTTTTTATCATATATGTGCGATTCCAAGTGAGATTTTGACTTTTTCGGAGTAGGTTAACCGATTGCAATGAAACTTTGGAATTTTGTTATATATAGTAAGACTAATCTTTAACGTAAATTTCAGCCTAAAATATTTGTTAGTTTACGAGATTTGCAATAATAACAAAAAATTTAAAACTGCTATATCTTCCGTTCTAATAAACGGATTGAGGTCTACTTTTTTTTAAAATGTCAAGGAAAATGAGAGGAATAAATCTCTTTCAGAACATTTTTTTATAATTTTACAACTAAAAAAATTATTAAATAATAATTGAATAACTTTCGCGCGACTAACTAAAATTCAATCACTTAAACGCTAAAATGATCTTACCTGTGTTTTCTTTAATGTTCCAAAGGATTTTTATTGTAAATGTAAGTTTAACTTAAGAAATTTTATTAATTTATTAGTATAAACAATTGAGATTTCTGCTAGTTGACGTGCAGACGACATTGCGCACGCAGCATTCTCACATAGCCAACTGACGTGATTCGTGGACTAAATTGGCTATGTGAGAATGCTGCGTGCGCAATGTCGTCTGCACGTCAACTAGCAGAAATCTCAATTGTTTATACTAATAAATTAATAAAATTTCTTAAGTTAAACTTACATTTACAATAAAAATCCTTTGGAACATTAAAGAAAACACAGGTAAGATCATTTTAGCGTTTAAGTGATTGAATTTTAGTTAGTCGCGCGAAAGTTATTCAATTATTATTTAATAATTTTTTTAGTTGTAAAATTATAAAAAAATGTTCTGAAAGAGATTTATTCCTCTCATTTTCCTTGACATTTTAAAAAAAAGTAGACCTCAATCCGTTTATTAGAACGGAAGATATAGCAGTTTTAAATTTTTTGTTATTATTGCAAATCTCGTAAACTAACAAATATTTTAGGCTGAAATTTACGTTAAAGATTAGTCTTACTATATATAACAAAATTCCAAAGTTTCATTGCAATCGGTTAACCTACTCCGAAAAAGTCAAAATCTCACTTGGAATCGCACATATATATATTAATTAAAAAAAGAATTTTTATTACAAATAATTTTAATTTAACACAATTCTTATTGGACATAATTTTAAGATTTCAAAGCGTTTTTTATAATTGACCAATAAAAAATTATCGAGGAATAAAAATTTGATAAAATGAAGCATTTAAAAATTAGAATCAGTTACATTGAATAAGAATTTTACTAAAATTAAAAATAGAAAATTAAAATTCTTTTAAATAAACAATTGGAAAAATAGAAATTATTTTTTCAAATTAAAATTCTATTAAATAAAAATTCATTTAAAAACAAAATTTAGCCAAATTCGACAAAAAGAAAATTTTAAATAATTTTTATTTTCAGCGATTGAATAAATAAATATAAAAAAAATAATATCAATAATAATAATAATAATAATAATAATAATAATAATAATAATAAAATAATTTTAATTCTATAAAATTCGTTTAAATAACATTTTTTTTAAATTCGATTCATGTGATATTCAAACTAAAGAATTTTAGAGAATTTTCCTGTTTCTCTTCAAATAGTTTAAAAAATCGTTTTTTTTTTTAAAAAAATTGTATACAATAAACTTACATTCCCATTTTAACTATATATTGTTAAATTTTAAATTCAATATTGAGAATTTATATCGGGTGTGCACCTTCTTAAAGTCTATTTTGAGCAACTTCATTCCTTTGCCTAAGTCGAACTAAATCGCGGCTCAAATTTAATCCTGGATCTTATTTTTTTTTCACTTTTTAATTTTCAAACATTTTTGTGTATGTACCCGCAATAGAATCGAAACTAGAATGTTTTGCAAATTTTCTCCCAATAATCGTCATTAACTTTACTACATGTATATATATATATATATACTGAAATATTATGAATAGAAAAAGAAAATATAATTAAACAAATTAAAAATTATCTTTAAAAAAAAAAATTGAGTAAAAATAATCTAGTTTCGACTCTCAAGGACGAATTTAGCACTTCTTTTTTTTTTAGACATTTCGATGATTGTCATCCTTGTAAACTGAAATTGTATACAATCACATCGGCCCTTGATCCTAACGTTTATAATAATAATATTCTTTATTCGTTTATAACTTTTTTTTCATTTTCTTTTGTTTTTGTTTTAAATTTCCGAACCTATTTTTTTTAACTCTTAGATTTAATTCTTAATATAAACCGCCTTTTTTTTTTTTTATTGTTATTGGGCGTAAAATATTTTGCGCAAGTCTTGTTTTTGGTATCTACTATGAAATTACACAAGATATATATTTATAAATTATCGTTGATTAACTATAGGGATCTATTTTGTTTTCTCTGTGACTCATATTTATATCTCATAGAATTATTTTAAATAGGTCATACCTTGAAAATTTATAACAAATATTTTTTCTATATTATATAAAGACTGCTCTACATAATTCTATATAAGATCATTTTGATCATTACGTCTTTGAATATCTTTGGCTTTCAACTCCCAAGTGAATTATATTCACTCGCAATTTCTTCACTTTTTTCTTTTAAATATCTATTTTAAGCGTTCTTCAAAAAATGTATTTAATTTTTTTTTTAAAACTAAAATATTTTTTTTTTTTTTTGGGCGCATGATTGTCCCATAAAAATAATAATTAGTTATACTTTAAAATTTAAAGAATTTTATTGGATTATAATTTTTTTGACGAATTTTTATTTTTGAACAAGTATCTGACAGAATTTTTTTTTAAACAAATTTAAATTTAACTTAACCGAATTTTTAGATACAAAATTTTTATTTGACAGAATTTTTATTTTATACAATTTCTCTTTAACCAACTTTTTATTTAAAAAAAATTCTAATTTAATTGAATTTAAATTAAGCAAAATTCTAATTTCTAAGTGATTCTCATTTTTGAATGACAAAATTTCTAATTCACCGAATTTTCATTAGTCCGAATTTTTATTTGATGGAATACTTAAAAAGCAAAATTTCCATTTGTCCGAAATTGAAAAATGTCCGAATAAACAATTGACAAAGATATCGGCGCGATTTTTTAAATTGACCAATCAGAAATTAGCAAGAAATTTAGTACCTACAAATTCCGTTAAGAAGGATGGAAGCCCTTACATAACCACAAAACGGAAAAATGTTTTTTAACGCCAACAAAAATTTAATAAAAATTATTTTCATTTTGCGATTTTTGTTATTAAAAAAATAATTATTTAACAAAAGATTTTAATTCAGCATAATTTTTTCCAAAAAATATTTTCGAAGAATTAAATCTAAAATTGAAATTATTTTTTTTGTGTCTTCATCCTCCTGATAATTAAAAAATTCGTTAACAATTCTGAAATTCTGTTAAATGCTAATTCAAAAAATAAAAATTCAACTAAAAAATAAATTATGTCTAATAAAATTTTTTAATATTAAAATTCTAATTGATTTTTTTGAGATAATAATACGCCCTCTTTTTTTTCTTTAATCGCTCTATTGTCACATAACGAAATATGCCGATTATATTTAATTATTGTTCGATAAATTCCAATTACTGCATCATTAAAAAAGAATTCATAACCTAAACATTTTTTTGACGAGCAATTTGTACGAATAAATAATGCTTATTGTGCTCTTGATTCTAATCCATTAAACTCAATTCCACTTTAATTTCGTTTCAATTCCTCAAATCGGATTTTTACTTTAAAAAAATAACTCGGATACTTTGCTCGTTGTTAAACTAGAATTTTTTTTTTTTTTTGACTTTCGATTAAGTTCGATGATGATATTTAATATATAGTAACCGAGTTTGCATTTTCGTTGTGTTCGAGCATAAAACACTTGTTTCTAATTGGCTTCGTTTTCTTTTATAAATTTACTATACTTTTATTTTTGATCTTTTTCATTATCAGATAATTCATCATCGATATTTTCAATATCGAGACACGGCTCTGGTAGTAATGGAGGTGGTATTGTAGCAACATCAAAACTAGAATCAGTACTTGAAACAATTTGTCCATCTTTAATTTCAAGATCAACTGAGACACGATGTCTTCTTTGTTGTCGTTTTCTTCTGAATGCCCTTTGGCCTCTATCGGGTGTATGACCGGGACTATCCATACTCGATGAAGTATCACCTTCACTTTGTGGACTTCTATTTGATGAATAGGGCATTGTTTTTGTTCTTATTTGTGCTCTAATTTGCATTGGAGGACTCGATGTCGTTGATTCACCACTTAAACTTGTTGTTGAATAGTATGGCGTTGATTTTGCACGAATTGGCACAACAACGGGTCTCTCTGTTGATTTTGTACCAGGTTTATAATCATGAGGATCCGAATGAAAACGATTGAATTTTTCCAATCTTCTTGATGCATCGTGCGATTGTCCTTGATCACTTGGCGACCATTCATCGTCACCTGATCTTGATCTTGCTGTGGTTAAACCAGCGTATCTCTCGTGCATATCCTCAGAACTATCGCCACGATTAACTTCCATTCGTATTTGATCTCTACTTGGATATTTCATTGCTGGTACATTGTCATATAATTGATCTTCATCTTCCTCGGGTATTGGACCTGGAAGATTTGAAATTTCAACAACATCTGGTAAAATATCATAATCCTCGCGTATCGCCTCGTCGTATTCATTTTCAAATGTTATTTTCGGCGGTAAAATATTGACAAATGCATGAGCACCGGAATCCTCTTCAAAACGACGTCGATGCTCGTCAAATTGACTTTCGACAAATTTTCTTGCTTCGTCAAATTCATCTTTCGATGAATCCTCATCGTCACCTAACATTTTTCCCTTACTGTCGTAAGAACCACTACATGGATTCTCCTCATCGGGAAGTGGTGGACTTTCAATAAGTTGACATTTTGAATTTGGTCTCATACTTGTGACACTTTTGTCCGATGTTGTAGTGTCGCTTTGACTTTTTTCAGTTAAATTTGAATAAAACTGTTGGGGAATTATTGACGTACTACCTGACCAATCGGAAATTGATGCCCCTAATTCGGCGAGAGAATTATCATCGGATTTTGTGCCTGAATATTGGCAGAATTGACGAACAGTATTATTTGAGCTTGACCATTCAGACATGGAGAGACCCATTGATGTATCTTCGCTGTGCGACGAACCAGTTATATAGGAATTGGATTTTGCTTTAACGGCTATTTTAACAGTGCCATCGACTGTTGTCGCCGATGCGGAACTTTGGCCATCTTCTAAGAATGCTGAATGTAAATCCTCGTGAAGTGTTCGATTCTCATCGCTTGAATCACTGTCCTGATCGACACGGCCAGTTGTATCGGTGCTGTCGGTCACTGTCACTTTTACAGCCTCTTCGGGTTTTATTTCCATGTAAAATGTTTCAACATGACTGACAACTGGTGTTTCAAAAAGAGGTGAACTCGGTGGTGTAGGCCAATCTTCTGAACTTTGTAATTGTAGTCTGGCTCGTCTTGTCTTTGGTGACTTTCCATCGTCGTCTTGCACGTCAATTGGAATATCGGGAAGTTCAGAAGATGTTCTACGATCTTCCGATACGGAGGGATGAGCCGCTCCTGATGGTGGATCCGATGACAAAGAAGGCTGATGATCACTTGATATTAAAGATTCATCCTCAATGCTCGGTGATCTCGAACTTGGTTTAAATGAATCTTCCATATCGCTTTTGTCTTGTTCGGAAGTTGTCGATCTCTCCGAAATACGTGAAAGTGTGCGTGAAAGTGAGAAAGCACCGTAATTACTGAGAATTTCAGGACCCACGGGATAGCTAAATCCACCTGGAAAGTCCATTAAATCTTCCTGATAGCTATCTTCATTGGGACCGTTACTGTCCTCTGAATTTGGTTGATGATGATTATCGTCTGGTGGCATCCATCCCTCCTCAAGACTCGAACTTCCCGAACTCTCCAAGGGAAATGGTCTCCAAGTTGAACTTAATTCTGGTTTAGGATAGGGATGAGAACTACTACTGCTTTCCTCCTCGACAGATCCTTCTTTACGTGATTCTCTAATTTGAGCAATTTCCCTTCGATCAATTATAGGCTGTACTTGACCAATACCAAGTGGTCTGGCAATGGAACACGAACTTGAGTCCGGATCTTCTCTATCTGGTGTCCAAGTGTTAGTGTCTTCACTTCTTGAGCGTTCAGTACTTAATCTTAATTTTCGATCAACTCCAAGACGATGAAGATCCAATGTATCGGGAGAATCTTTACCAATTGGTTCGTCCTCAGGCAATTCTTCAGCACCTTCCTCTTCTTCTTTTTTCATTTCCAAATATTCTGGCGTTAATTCAACTTCCACGAGAGTTTTTTCATCAACCTTATCAATTCCATAGTCAGGTGAACTCATATCACTATCACCGCCGTGCATCTGTACTTGTGTATCAATAGCATCCAAGGTATCTTCACTCGTATCACCAGAATCTAATCTACGTTTTTCGTGAACTTCAATTTGATAAGTCTCCTGATCAATAACTTCTGGATCCTCATCACTTGATTTTGCTTCATCGGAACATTCTTCAATGGAAATTTGTATTGGCGATCGAACCATAACTGAGGAATCTTGATTAAAATCATAAGGCTCAGGTGGAAATTCACAGCCCTCTTCAATAACACTAACTGTAACATTAGGTAAATCATCTTTATCAATTGATGTACGTGGACTTGAATCTTTAATATTTTCTGCTGCTTGTTTTTTTACATAATCATTTTCTGTCTTTATTTCATGATCGACTGTTTCTTCTGCACCCGACTCTATGGAACTTTGATCAATGAATTTAGTCGATAAATCAATTTTTAACTCTTGGAAGCCAGAAGCTATTTCATCAATTGTGATACACATTTGGTTATCTTGCTCATATGGTATCAAATCCGGACATATTACTATTTCATTATTTTCAGTTAATGGTGATTCTAAATATTGTGTCGATGTCTCTGTGACTGACAATGAATCGGTACAAATTTCGGGCACTGTTGTATGATCAGTGCTATCTGATTTATGATTTGGAGAAACTTCTATCTGCATTGATTGTTTAACAATTTCCTCAGATTGTTTCTCAGCTTCTTTTTCAGCTTCTTCTGACATATCAACAGTGTCATCTTTACTTGAAAATGCATTAATTGGTGGTAATCTATGAAGAGCAATAACTGGAGCGTCTAGTGATTTTGCTCTTCTTTGAGAAGTTGGCGATTGTGTGGCAGCGCCTTGACGTTGTAAAGCACCAATTCCACTTCCCTCGGACAATCCCAATCGAGCTCGGGCAAATAAAATTGGACTTTGTCCAGGTTTTCGTAAAACAACTGGCGATTCTGCAAGTTCTTGAGCTATGGGAGATTTTTTACTTTCTTTTTTATCTGACGATTTTTTATCATCGGGAACAATTTCCGGTTCAATTGATTTTGATTCGATTTCAAGGGTTTCTTCCTCAAGAGGAGGAGGTATAATGTCATTAAATGAGGAATCTAATTCTTCTTTTCGTGAATTATTATCAATATCACGTTTAATTGTATCTTTGCTAGTGTCAGAAGTTTTGCTTCTGACAGAAGCTGATCTTTTTGGTGATACTTTATCAAGGGAATCTCTCTGTTCAGTGCTACCCAAACTTTTTGAAATTCCAAGAGATTTTGGTCTGGGTTTATCACTTTTCAAACTTCCTGGACTCTTAATCATATCATCATCGACTGATGCTGATTTTCCTTTTGGTTTTTTAATATCGTCTTTTTCATCTTTTGAAGATGATAAAGATCTACTGTCCGATAATCGTCCCACTGATCTAGATCTTGTTTTTTGAACTATACTTACTTCGGGTACAACATCAGTGGAATCAATAATAATAATTTCCTGAGGCATTTCACCTAATTTCAATTTAGATTTATCTATTTTTGAGCTTGCTGGAGAAGTTCTTAATTCCTTTGATCCTGTTTTCTTGAGTGTTGGTTTATCACCTTCCAAGGATTTGGATTGCTTTTTGAAATCTTTCTTTGGTTCGGATTTGGCTTTCTTTATTTTCTTTGGCGAAACATCCTGAATGAAATGTTTATTTTCACGATCAGGCGATAATAGAGTATCAATTGGTGCTTTCTCCTCGGCCAATGATAGAGATTTTGAACGCATTGGCTCGCCATGAGGCCTTAACATAAATGGTGTAAATTCCGGAACTTTTAAACTATCCAATTCTAAAGCAGGTTTTATTGGTACTTCATCAAGTGGAAGATCAGCTACTGGATCAACGAAATCATCGAAACCAGTGTCAAAGATTTTTGGTCTTGCAACTTTAGTTGCTGAATTTTTATTGGCTTCGGTAAATCTTGATTCTATTCTATCTAATATACGTTTTGTTTTTTCGGGTATTGTTGGTTTTTCTAAATTCTTTGATCTTAATGTTTTGGATTTTTCGGGTGATACAATGAGTTTTGGAGAAACTGGCGTACTTTTTTCACCTTTAACTAAACTATCAGTCTTGTCCTCAGAATGATCAGTAATTAAAAGTTTACTGGGTAAATTTCTCAATAATGGCTTATCGGGTATAGGTGGTTTTTTGGCACCAGGTTCAGTCGGTGTAACTAAAGTTACGGATTCTAATAAAGGCAATATGGGAATTTCAGGCAGGGGAATTTTTTCAATGCTGTCCTGTTTTTCTAAACTATCGTCTGGTACTTTCAATTTTTCTTTTTCTCTTCGTCCTAGTTCCTGTTTTATTTCAAGTCCAACAACATCGGCAAAATTAAATGACTTCGATCTGTCGTCAGAAAAACGTTTCTTTTCAAGGACCGAGACAATTGTAACGAGAGGATCAGTTGGCGATAATTTCGGTGATACTTTCGGTGATATTTTTGGCGATACTTTGGGAGAGACTTTTGGTGATACTTTGGGTGAAACTTTCGGTGAACGTTTCTCTTTAATGGAAATAATTGTAACTGATGCTTTAGTAGGTGATATTTTGGAAGACTTTTTATCGAAACTTGAAGATTTAATGCAAGTTTTATCAATTGATGAATTATCGTACTTGGTTTGATCCAAGGACATAGACTTTGGGGAAAGACGACATGTTGATGAAATTTTTGTTGTTTTTGTAGAACTTTTGTCAGTTGGTGATAAATTATAGACGAATGTTTTACGATCAGTTGGTGATCGTTTGGGACCAGTGTTACTTTTAGATTTATCAGAGGAATTTAAAATTGACTTTGATTTGTCGGGGCTTACTAAAATACTTCTTGGTTTGTCGGGTGATAATTTGGTAATGGGCTTATCTATCGGTGGTAGTTTTGATAAATCTAAACATGGTATTTTTCCATTGTCTGATTCTGATTTTTCATCCGATGCAGTACCATTCATAACGTGTCGTTTGTGCAAAGTATAGGGAATATCGGTAGTTGATTTTTGAACAGAAACACCATCAGCAAATGCATCTTCATCGCCAGAATCGGCTGGAGTTAAATCAATAGATTTTTGATGCATCAGCATGTGCCTCTTGCTATTGGAGCCTAATCTTTGTCGAGCTGGATTAGGATCACTCTTTGTGCGTTCAACGGGTATGTGACCGGGTAAAGAAGAATCATCAAAACCTACAACTATTCCGCCGACAATTTTAGGATCATATTCTGTAAATACGGCTTTTGGTTTTAAAATTTCCTCCTCATTGGGAATACCTATCACAGTTTCTGTGCGTGACTCTATTGATATTTTCACTTGACGTTCTTTCTCACGACGTTCATTGTCCTTTCTAGCTTTCTCCAAACTTCTCCAATCGTCTCTTTCGCGTGGCTTCTCTTCATTTCTTCTCAAATCCTTAGAATCTAATTTTTCGATGCTCTTTTGCCTTTCATAATCATCAGTTTCATAATCGAAATTTCTTTTTTCTTTAGAATCAAATCGTTCTAGATTCTTACGTTCGGAGGATTTTTTGTCGTTTGGCTTTTCTTTAATATTAAATTGCTCAACATAAGTACGCTCTAGAGAACTTAAACGTTCAATAGCAATGGGATCAAAATCAAATGTTGGTCGTTCACGTGAATCTAATCGTTCGATACTTTTACGTCTCGAATCTTTTACATAATCAATTGAACTTCGTGATTCAAAAACGTGTTTTTGATTATAATCTAAGGGACTTTTTGGACTCTTGGGGCTTTTTGGACTCTTTGGACTTTTACCGGGACTTCGTCGTGTTTCACGAGAATCAAGACGTTCAATACTTCTTTCTCGTCGTTGTCGCGTCTCATGATATCGATGACTCTTGTCTTTATAATCTAAATTATCAAGACTTTTACGTCTTTCGCGTTCAATATAGAAAGGTTCACGATAATCAGATTGATCGTAATTTCGTTCCCTGGTATCTAATCTCTCGATACTTCTTCTTAATTCGGATAAATCATTACGTTCCATACTACGGCGCCTGTAAATTTCACGTGAATCTAATCGTTCAATACTTCGTCGTTCTCTTCGTTCTCTCCATTCGGATTTATCACTTCTTCTAGCTTCCCTCGAATTTTCTCTCTCATAACGTTTACGCTCTTTCTCTTGTATTTTTGAAAAGACTTTATCTACTTTTGCTTCCGCCTCACGTCTTCTGTCACGTAATTTATTACCTCGTCCTAAGCTACCAGTTTCAACATATTGCCTCGATTGATAATCCTCTAAACTCGCAATACTACGTGCCCTAGTCGTTCTACCCGATTTTTTACCTTCCACCGGACTAAGATTATCATCGATTCTTGATTTCGGTCTCATAATACCCTCGTCACGCAAAACTTCAGAATCTACATGCGTAATTTTATGCTTCGATTTCAAATTCTTTAATTCATTTAATACCGTCATTTTTTGCTTTTGTACCTGTAAAACAATGGGATCTTTTTTATTTGAATCCTGATGTGGTAACGGTGGTTTAGCTTGCAATTCAATTGTATTAGAGGGACGCGATTCAAATTTACGTTCTATTTGTGTATTTGAACGATGAATTCGCGATTCAGTGATGACAAATTCACCATCAGGTTTACCAATCGCTGAGTACCGATCAATGGACTTTGCTTTAAGATTTTTAATATCAGTGAGCACGGATTTGAATAATTGTTTATCAGTTGATTTTATTGAACGATGCTTAACAAATGAATCAGTTTCCGAATCCATTTGAAACATTTCAGGTTCAATTCCCTCATCACTATTATCAGACATTGCTTCATTATTATGTGGACTCGAATAAGATTCAGGATATTCAAATTCGTGCTCACGTTCTAATAATTCATAAGAATCGTGTGAGAGATCATCGTGCGATAAATCTCCCGCTTGTCCTGATTCTTCGTGACCCGATTCAGTTGACACTGACGATGTACCAGGATATGAGCTACTGTAAATACGATCTGGAACTGAATCATGTTCAAGGGATGGTAATTTGGAGCTTGCAACACTATAAGAACGATTGCTCTCATCGTAACGTGTCACGGGATTGTCGAGCTCTCCTTGGGATGGCAATTGAAATGGTGTCAGGACAGATTCGCCTGAGGATTTTTCATCTTTTGGTAGTAGTGCTTTGCCGGAATCCTCAAAACTCGAGGCATATAATTCTCGACAACTAACTGAACGTTGCCAAGGATAACGGGGCAATGGTCGTGGCGGAGGGAATTCAGGGGATGATACGCTGTTAGAGGGGCTGATACGACCTGCTGCTGTTGTAATCCGCTGTTGACTGGTAGCATGTAACTGCCGCTGAACTGGGACCTGGTTCGGACTGGCAGGTGAATGTACGTCGATAGAGGTGAGCGTCCGAAAGGATGTAGCTGTGTCGTCGCGACGGTGACTCGTCCCTCCCATCGAGACACTCGTCACAGTCGTCGGAGAATCCAGTGTCATCGAACCGCATGACAGAGACAGAGCCGGTGTTCCCAATGCTGTAATTTTTGTTCAATTAGACAATAAAAAAAAATGAATATTCAAAAATTGCAGAAATTCATCAATTGTGCAATAGAATAATGAAAGTGAAAAAAAGGTGCAACTCTTTTTTTTAAAAAAAAAGCTTTCACGTCAATCAAGCATTACTACCAATACTACTTTGTGCAATTTTTTTTTTTAGTTTTTCTTTTAATTTTTCAGTTTATATACAAAAATAAAATTGAAAAAAAAGAAAAATTGAAAAATTATTTTTTTTAAAATTTTTATCTAATTTTAAAAGCTCACTAAAATACACTATGCTACACTACTTTATACAAAGTAATTTTATAAACAAAAGGTATATATACCGGAGAAGGATATAAAAAGAGAAAATAAAGAAAGCATTTTTTTTTTTTTTGTGTGATGGTTGGTGTCGGTGGTCATGGTACATACCGGGGTCGCCGAGGGGCAGGAGGGGGTGGGCAGAGATGCTGGAGCTGCCCATAAGGGAGCTGCTTGAAGTGGCGCCACGATAGCCTCCCCCCTCCGAGCCCTGCAATGCCCTACCACCGCTAGTCTGCCGGAACGAATTGGACCTGCGAGCAAGAGAGAGTCAAGTTCAGCATCAGACCTCTGCCATACTAAAAAACGCCCAGGCTTCTCCTTTTTTTTTCAATCATCCATCGATTGTTTTTTTCTCTTTTATCCGACTTTCAAGATTAATGCTCAATATAAGCAAAAAAAAAAAAAAAAACACCTGATAATCTAATGCTGTGTCTTCTTGATTCACTCAAATCTAATAATATTTTAAGTGTTTGATGATTAATTAATTTATTTTTTTAACTCCCACCAAAGTCCTTTAGTACAATGTATTTAAGAAAAATTCCCACAACCAATGTATAATTTAGTAAAAATTATTTTTAAAAAAATATTCTATAAAATTTACTTCATTAAAATCAAGAAAAATCGGAAACAAAAATTTTCATAACAATATAATAATAAAAAATTGAAAAAAAAAATGTTTATATAAAGTTTACTTCATCATTAGAATCAGGGACAATCGGAAACAGAAATTTCTATAACTATAATAAAAAATATTAAAAAAAAAAAAAAAATTTATATAAAATTTACTTCATCGTTAGAATCAGGGAAAATGTATTAAATATTTTTTCAATTATTTTTTTTTTTAAATTCTAAAACACGAATTTTTTTCAAAAAAAAAATAATCATCGAACACAATAAAGCAAAATTTGTCAATAAAAATTAACTTTAAACATTACTATAGCCAATATGAAAAGTTTATAGTTAGTGAATGAAAATTATTTAAATTACTAAAAAGTTAATATATAAAAAAAAATCTAAAAAGTTTTTTTTAACTATATATTCTACACATTTAAATATACTTATCTTTGTATTTCTTCAAGAAAAGGTAAAAAATATAGACAGAGAGAGAGAGAGAAAGAGTAAAACAAATAAGAATGAACCTAATAGTGTCAAAATAGCCAATTTCAATTACCTAAGACAATTAATTTTGTGCCTATATAAAATGAGAAATACACTAAAGTGCGCCTCCACATTGATAAAAGGAAAAGAAATTTTTTTTATCGTTTTCATAATTTAAAATCATATTTGAACTTAAATTAAAATATCAAAGAAAAATTATTAATATAGATGTTAATTTAATTTTTTTAAAGGATGTTTTAGATGTTAAAAGATTTGTTCACATTCGAAAAAACTAATTATTTTTTCTCTCAATGTATTGTAATTTGAAAAAGCATATGCATGCTATTGAGTAAATTGTTGAATTTATAATTTAAAAAAAAATCAATAATTAAAAGCTCGTATGTGTCATACTCCTATTACTATTCTTGAAAAAATTAGTTTTTTTTAAATTTTCTTCAAATTTCAACAAACGGAATTAATTGGACAGACGAATTAAAAATTAGTTTAACACCAAACTTTTGTATTTTTAAATTTAAAAACAATTTATAATATAAAAAAAAGGTTCCTACAAATTTTTTTTACTGTAAAATTCCACGAATTTTTCATAATTTCCAAAGCCTAAATAATATTTTAATAATAATTTTAAAAAATTAATAACAATTTTCATATCAGAAATCGATTTAAAAAAAATAAAATAAAATTACCTACAACTCAATTAAATCGAAAAATCAACCAAAAGGAAATTCAGTTAATTGAAAAAGTGATAAAATGAAATTTGTATTATATGTATAAAATGTACTAAATGCAAATTTGGTTAAATCAAAATTTGGACAAACGAAATTTTAATTGATTAAAAATTGAATCGAAAGCAATTTTTCAGTCACATGAAAGTTTGATCAAATGTAGGTAAATTTATTTTAAATAACAATTTAATTAAATGGAAAAATAAAAATTTGGTTTTACGTTCTTATTAAATATAAAGGTTAAATAAAAATTCAATCAAATAACAAATCGGTCAAAAATAAAGAAATAAATAAAAATAATTTGTATAAATTGAATAAATATATTAAAGAATTTTTGAAATTAAAAAATAATTAAAAATTTTTTTCGTTATGTTATTGAAATTATTTCTTTTTTAAAACTTCAGAAATTTATCATATTAATTCAATGACAACTTGTAATGATTTAAAGTGTTAAAATTTTTCCACTAAAACACTTTTTAACTATAATTTTTTTTTTTTTTTTTTTTTTAATATCAAAATATAGAGTTAGACTAAATTTTATTCCGATTTTGCAGCTAATTTTTCCTTAAATTATTCTTGCTTTAAAAAAAAAATGATTTTTTTAAACATTCCATGAAATATAAAAGTTTTAAAGTCCAAAGAATGTCAAAAGAGAATTAAAATTTCTAAATAACATAAATTTTAATTCGATGACATTTAACTGATGATTTTTGTAAAATTTAACTATACGATTTTAATTATTTTTCATTAACAATTTTTTTGTATACTTTTTTTTATGATTCCGAATAATCGTATGAATTTAAAAAAAATTTTTTTTTTTTCAAAACAAAAATTCTAACTTAGTCCTGAATAAGTATCTTTTAATTTCATTAATATTTTAAACCCTCAATAGTTCCAGAAAAAAATTACCATCTTCCAACAACGTAAATTTTGAAAGATTAAAATTTCACTCTAAAGGATTTTGTAATTTTAACCACAATATTAGTCGGATACTAAAAGGAAATTTTTTTTTTTTAATTTCAAGAAAATTCAATAAATCAATTGTTTTTAAGAATAGTAATCGGAAAGTCCTAAAAATCGTATATGTTATTTTGAGTCGTGCATAAAATATTAATGACAATAATTTGTCAACTTTGTATTTTATATATATATATATATTTACAAGGAAAATTATTGCAAAAATATTGAAAGAGGTTAATCTCTATTAGTGAAAAAAATCTACTGCTATCGATGAGTACCTTGCTTGGTATTAATTTTATAGGACAAATTTTATAAAACTATGTATCGACGTCTCCCGTCGGAAAAATTGTTTTTTCAGTTGTCAATTCAATAAACTCGAAAATGAGTGCAAGATGAAGTTTAATCCTAAATTAACTCCCAGTTGACCGAATTCTTAATTGTCCAATTAATTATTTTATTAATTATTAATAGTTATTTAAAAGATCATTTATTTTAATTAATGATTAAAATTTAATTCATTAAATGCTTAAAAAAATACTTCCTTTATGAGAAAGCTATTTTAATTGCATATTAAAATTTATAAATGAGCTTTAAAAAAAAAATTTGTATTTTAAAAATCCTGTTTTTCAATTATGCAGGCCTCGGATCAACTTTAAGGTACAAAAAAGTCGTTTTAGTCGATTTATATTCCCAAAAAAAAGTCGAAAATGTCTATTTTATTTTATTTTAACAAAATTTAAGTGGTTAATAAATATTTTACTTTAAATAACTAATGTTATTAAATATTAAATGCCTTTTAATTAATTCTGTAATGAGAATAATTCTATAAAAATATTATCAAGAAAATTTATTTCGAATATTTCAGAATCAAACTAATTGTAAGATAAATTTTCAAAATTTTATTTAAGTAGTACAAATTTCTAAACAAAATTCTTAAAGTTCCATTTTTATAATTTTTTGAAGTCTGATTTAAGCATTTTATTCAAATACTTAATTAAGTTTTACAGATTTTTAAATAAAAATTTTTTTTAAAATAATAATTTCAAAAGAGTTAAAGTTTAAATTTTTAGAAATATTTGAATTTCAAAAGATTTTGTTAATTTTCAGACAATAATTAAATTATACAAATCTAAAAATAATTTATCAAATAATTTTACATGACATTTTTTAAAAGTAATGGTCTCAGGTCTCAGATAGATGAATTTTCGAAGAATATTATAAAAATCATTGAAAATAATTGAATATCAGGACAGTTATAATTGAAATTATTAAATTTCAAAAAAATTTTAGATGGAAAATTTTAGAAATAATTAAATTTTACAAGTTTTTAAATTAAAATTTTTGAAAATAATTGAATTTCAAAAGCTTGTGTTTTTCAGACAATAATTATAATAAGAAAAATTTCTAGTGATTTCGGTTGATAAAGAATTTATTAGAAATCACATACAAAAATTGAATTCCAAAAGTTTTTAATTGAAAAATACTTTCAGATAATAATTGAATTTTGGAAGAATTTTATAAAAATCATTAAAAATAATTGAAATTTTTGCAAATAATAATTAAATTTCAAGTGACGTTGAATTAAAATTTTTTGATAATTTTTGTTATTTGCTAATTCTTTTTTTTTAATTATAAACAATTATTAAATTTAATAAAAATTTTAATTGAAAAATATAGTTTAAGATAATTGAATTTGTTAATTGAGATAGCATTATCTTGAATTAAAAAATTATTAATTTTCTTGCATAAATTTACGAATTGAATTGACAATAGAAAAATTATTTTCCCGACGGGAGGCGTCCAATTATTAATAAAATTATTGTGTGTATGTGTTGTTGGATTACATTAATAAGTAAATCAGTGATTTAAAAAAAAAAAACAAAAAAAAAAAAGGGTACATCGATCATTCAGGTTAATCGTGCCTGATGGTGAGCCTGACTCCCGCCACCCCTGTCCGAGCAGGCAACACTGGCAAACGGAAATATATAAATACATATACAATGTATATTTATACAATAAAAATGAAAACCAGTAGAAGATATGGTTATATAGCTAAAGAGACAAAATTGGAGAGACGACGAAGTGACCAGTCGCGATGTGCAATGCGACCCTGGCATTATAAAGTGCAAATACCGATTCGTGTTTGGTTTTTTTTTTCCGGTAAAAGCAAGACCGTGCCACCGCCCGTCTTTTACACAAGATTGGTGCGCACATTAATTAAAATTTTTAAATGGTTCAAACCAATATTCAAAAAAAAAAGGGGGGGTGGGAGGTTATACGCAATGGTACTCATGCACTATCTACGTTATAATTACTCGAGTGACATATTTAATTGTCTCTCAAATTTAATTTTTTTTTTACAATAATTAATTATTCTCACCTTTGGAACGTTTGCCTCTTGACATAATTATCACGTACGAATTCCACAATCTGTTTCTGTGTCTTACCGCTGTACCTGTTTTTTTTTTTTAAAAACAGAAATTTTAGTTATTAATTTTGTGTTTCTTTTATTGAGAATGCAAAAATAATAAAAGAAAGATTAAAAAAAAAAGCAAAGTTTGGAATTTTTAAAAAATCTTTCCTTCATTATTTATTTGATAAAAATTTTTTTAAAGTTTCTGAATTTAAAAGATGAATATGAATGAATTCTAAAATTAATTTGATAGAATTATCATTTGACAAAATTTAAATTAACTACAATTATTGAATTGTAATCTAAATTATTATTTAATTTAATTTTAAAATTGACCTGAAGTTATTAACGAAATTATATAATTGGTTAATTTTAAAATTTGCGCCCAAAGTTTTCTGTCAGATATTTATTCTGACAAATGAAAGTTTTGTAAAATAAAAATTCAACGTTTTAACAATTCTGTAAATTCCAACAAATGGAAATTTGGCTAAAAATAATTCTTTTCAATATTTTTTTTAATTTTAATGTTAATATTAATATTTAACCTCAATAACATTAATCATATTTATTATTTAATAATAATTCTTTAATATTCTTTCTGTAAAATAAAAAATCATTTAAATGACCATTCTGTCTATTGAAAATTTGAGGAAATAATAATTTTGTCAAATTCAAATTCGATGAAATAAAAAGTCTGTAAAATGAAAAATCGTTTAAGTAACAATTCTTAAAATATATAGAAATTTGATTAAATAATAAATCGGAAAAATTAAATTCTAGAAAATGAAATTATATCAAATAAAAATTCGAACAAATTAATTTACGAGCTTATTCATACGTCTCTTTTATATATATATATAAATAATAATAATAAAAATAAAAATTGTATATTACCTAAAAGACGATCCTCGACTGAGGACTCGCGTCTTTTGGCGTACAACGCGTTTAACAACAGAACAGCGGAAGAATCCATGATTTTCTACACATTTTTTCCAAAAATTTTTGCATTCATTTCGACCTTCGAAGAAAAATTCAACTGTATCCTTGTAATAGCCCTAAAAAATTGTTATTATTATTATTGGAATTCGATAAAAAAAAATTGTCAAGTAATAATAGAGAATTATAAAAAAAAAATTTTTAACTTACATAGCCTTCGGGATGAAGTTTAATGAGAAATCGTTTCCGTTTGAAACTAATTTTTCTAATTTTTGCCCAACTAAATGTATTTATTTTAGTGTAGTTTTGAAAAACAACAATACCCATGTGCGCGACTGCCAAATTGAGCGGTACACCTTCATGATCCTATTATATATTAAAAATTAAAATTCATTTTCATATTTTTATAAATAAAATAACAAAAAAAAAAATTTTTTTTTGAAATGAAATGATAAAAAGAATTAAAAAAAAAATTAAATAATCATTGTTGAATGTTTAGCGGTTTTGTGGGGTCCTTGTAATAAGAAATTTGAAACTAGATGTTTGTTTTTTCTTTAAATGTTTCGACCCATGTTTGGATCTTCGTCAGTTATTTTTTTTTTTTTTTTTGTAAAGTACAATAATAAATTTTTAAAAGACATAATTTTACATTTAATTTAACAATTTTATATTGCGTGTTTTTTTAAATAATTAATAATATTATTATTAGCTTTGTGGCCTTTGATTCAAGTAAATGAAAATATATTTTAAAAACGTGATCAGTTTATTACATCAAGCTCGAATTTATTTTCACTGTCAACACAGCTCATCAGACGTTGCTAAAGTTCACAACGTTTATGATCAAAAATTTCTAAAGAAACAAAATTTTTTTTTTTCAATAAAAAATTTTTATGAAATTTCGTCTCAAAGAATTATTTTTTTAACATTTTTATATTTTTCTTTTAGCTTGGAAAAAAATCGCAATTTTTATCCAATTTTTATAAACAATAACTTATTTTACTCCTTGAAATATTCTCTACAATTGTACTTTTCTTTAATTTTATTAAAAATATTTTCTTCTTTTCTTTGAAAAGGGATGTGTTATATTTTATAAAGTACGTTTCAGTAGGATTGTAATATTTTAAGTTTTTAGTATTTAGAAAAATTTTAATTTATATTTTTTCAAAATAACTAATAAAATATGTATTAAATTAATAATTTAATATTAATTATTTTCTACATCATGATCACTTTCAAATGAATAATTCATTAAAGTGAATTACATATTAATATTATTATACAAATTGCATAATAAATACAATAATATTAATAATAGTTTTCCTATACAATTTATTATAACTTCTTGTCTATTTTTTGATATTTTTTAGAGCAAAATTTAGAGAAAATTTTTTCGGCACTTATTGAAATCGAGCTTTCCGCAAGAACTAACATGCTTAATTTATTTTCAAAATCGTTTTTCAATTCAATAGAAACCATATCTTTGAATAAATAATTGTAATTGAGTGTACCTTCGAGTAAGGCTTCTATAATATTAAATTAATTTCGAATTAATAAATAAAGTGTATCGTCATTCTCTTAATATAATATTTGATTAAATAATAATCAATAATAAAATCATTTTTATTGTCACTTTTTGTTCAAAACGTTCAATTTGTACTTTTACGGTTTAAATTTCAATGAAATTTAAAATATATTTCTAAATAAATGATTTTTTGATATCAATTTATAATAATTTTATCTTTGTTTCCTAAACTAAAATTTATATGATTGTTTTCTACTTCATGTGTGAATTGTATTTTATTAAATTTTCTATTAAAAGTGTTAAAGAAAATATTTTGTTTCATCTTTCGATTAGAAAATAAAAATATCTTTGACAATATTAACATAAACATTCAACAATAATTAATTATATCACCTGAATCACGAAATAAATTCTCATTATGTAAATATAAAAAATTACAAAAAAAAAATAATTATATTTTACTCACTTTGGCAGGATGCATTTTCATTCCATAAAGTTCACAACGTCGAGCGGTTTCTAAAAGATTGAGATCTGCTTCCGCAGGAGATTGTCCTCTAAATAATGAACAATTACATATATTTAAATTGCAAAAAAAAAAAAAATGATATAATTATCATCAATAAGAAATGTAATTAAAAATATCATTTTAAAAACTTACGCATGTTTCTTGTGATTTTCCATTATACGTCGTTCTAATTCCTGATCTTGATGAGGCACGAATTTATAAGTAGACAAATACGTGTGATCAGGATAATCTTCTATAACATAATCACCACATTCAGCTGTAAAAATAAATTACCATTTTTTTTAATCTCTATAAAAATAAATTAAATATAAACTGAAATTTAAATTTATCAATTTAAGGTTTTAAATTAGGAAACAAATTAATAAAATCTCGGGGGAAGGGAGGGAGAGAGAGAGAGAGCCCTATTTACCGCTAAGTGAAACAGAAAAGGCAATAAATCTACAATGTGACTAATGACAATGAGACAATTGTGATGATTGATGTCAGCAAAAGAACGGTTTGCCACTTTATAAAATAATGACATGAGGACTTACAATTTGAATTCATATAAAATTTAGAGTGTGCTCTCTACTCCTCAATTTAAAATTAGGACTAGAGGTCATCATATATATATATAAAATAAAATCGATTTCTCCTGATGAAATATTGAGTTAATACCTTGAACAATGTAGCTAGCCATTAATGCTGCAGTGTTATCATTACATTGCAGTAAACCCTGAGCTAAGTCACGTTTGATTTGTAAACAAAACAAATATCTAGTGAATTCTTCTTCGAGCTGTGCGGGATCAGGCGTGTAAAACTTGACGCAAAATCTCAGGAGCGGATCGACAAGCGATAGTCCTACTTGTCGGCAAACTGGTTTTTCTAGGTCCAACCAATACTGAAGAAAGCAAATAAAAAAAAAAATTATTAAAATATATTTATGATAAGCTTTATAATTTTTATGTTAATAAATTACTGCAACTTACCCTCGTTCCGTTAATCTCCTGATATTCAAGGCCAAAGTAATCCGCTTCCAGGAGATGTAACTGTTTGCAGACTTGGTCAAAGAGAACTCTGCCCAATGCTTTTGCCTGTAAAATTAAAATTTTAATTATTAAAAGAAAGTCTGTATCTTTAATTTTGTGTAAATTTTGCAAAAATTAACATGAAATATTATGAAACAATTTAATTAAATATCTTCGAAAATTAAATTATTTTCAAAATTGTAATTCTTTGTTAAAGAAAACTTAATAATTTCAAAATTTTGAATATATGTAAATGTTTTCTAAAGTAAAGTTCAAAACGTTTATGATCAACTATTGAAAAAAAATTGTTTCCATAAAAAATAATAACTAATTTTTTGCCTACAATTTTATTTTCAAAAAAATTTGATTTTTTTTCCCAAAAAATTGTTGATCAACAAAAATTGCAAAAAAATTTGTATATATATGAAAAATAACAATAATTTGCATAAAAAATAATTTCTCTTCTAAATTGATGATCATAAACGTTGTGAACTTCTCTAATGTTGAATTTAATAAATTTCAGGGCTGATAAAAATCATGATTTTTTTTTACGAAATCAGATTTCTCTTTATTTACGTAACATTTTAAAAAAAATGTTAATATCTAAATAATTTGTCTTTTTTAATAAATTCTTCAACGATAAATTTAATACAAGCATAATTATAAGTACCAAGCAATAAAATATTGCAATATTATATTTATATATTTTTATTTTATTTTTTTTTTAGCAATATAAATATATTATTATTATTAGCAAAGAAAAAATATTTTTAAATTAAAAACTAAAAAACTGTTCTATAATAGGTAGACGTTTTTTAGAATTTTTGATATTTAAAAAGTCAATAATTTCATTATATTATACCGTAGAAGGTTTAAATAACTTGAACTTTTTTTAAAAATATATCGGAGCTTATATAAAAATATTAAACTAAAATTAACCAAAAAGGAATGTTCTTTAAAATTTTTTGATTTTAGAAACGCTATAATAACTTTGTAATAATTTATAGTAAAATTTCACAAATAAATTAATCGACAAGTTTTTTTTAAATATTTTATTAACTTGTTTTATAATTGTTTTGGCCTTACTGTAAAGATTTTTAAACAAATATTTGAAAAATTCACGTTTTAAAAATTTTTTTATTCTTAAAAAGGTAAATAACTTTTCGGATAAAATATATATCATTAGAATATTGGACAATAGGTTATAGATTGATTTTTGAATCTTATAATATAAAAAATTGAATGTAAAAAATATATTAAAAATAATTGTTTCAAAATTTTTTTTTTAATTTTAATGTAAATGACTATTTAATTTGAATCATGATTTAAATATACTAAATGAATTTTTGATTTCAATTAAGTTGATTTAAATCATTGCAGTCCAGATAGAATTTTTCAAAAATTCAATTATTAAAAAAAATTTATATTTATAAAAATTCTCTAAAACTAAATTATTGTTAAAAAGAATTTGTAAACAATTTCCAGAAATTTAAAACAAAAATCCCAATTTCGAATCTCCTGAAACTTAAATATAAAATTTTCACTTTAGTTGTTCAAAAATTCAATTATTTATAAATTTTTATTTAAATTTTTTTGCCAAAACAATCATTTTTAATAATATTTTAAACAATTTTTCGAAAAAGAAATTATTTTTAAAAATGTTAATTAAAAATTTGTAAAAAATATAAATTAAATTTACAAAATTTTATAATTTAAAATTATTTTAAATTCAATTATTGACAAAAATTTTAACTAAATTTTTAAAAATTCAATTTTTTAAAAAATATTTTGTAAGTATGTACATATTTTTGTTTTAATGTTTGTAAAATATATATTAGAAATTTATTTAAATTAAATATTAAAATCGAATTAAATCTAAGATTCTTTGCAAAAATTGAAGAAAAACACAAAGTATGGAATAATAATAATATTAATAATAATAATAATTTTCTAAAACTGTATTAAATATTCTTTCAACATTTTATTTATTATTATTTCAATCAAATAATTTTTCTCAATATGATATTAAACTTTTTTGACAATTCTTTTTCTCATTTTTGCCAAAGTTGTATAATTGTGTTTCCAAATTTCGGAATAAGTTTCTTTAAAATTCCAAATTCGAAAATTCAATTCACGAAGCTGAAGTACACAACGTTTACCAACGAAATTTTTTTTAAAGTTGTATATTCATTCAAAAATTGTTGATACAAATACAAAAAATTTATGATGAGAAAAAAGATGTGCCAGGAAATTACGTACAAGATAGTAAATTGAAAAAAATTTATTTTTAAAAATTAATTTTTAAGGTACCAGGGGCCAACGAATACCTATAAAATATTAATTATAAAAACACAGGCCTCGAATCAACTTAAAGACACAAAAAAGTCGTTTTAGTCGATTTATATTCCAAAAAAAAATGGATTTGTTTTTTATTTTAACAAAAATATTTTACAGATTTTTAAATAAATTTTTTTTTTTTAATAATAATCCTTTTCGAAGGGTTAAAGTTGAAAATTTTAGAAATAATTAAATTTCAAAAGATATTGTTAATTTTCAAACAATTATTAAATTTTACAGAACTAAAAATAATTTATCAAATAATTTTTGGAAAACATTTTTTAAATTTAATTGAATTTTCAAAAATTTTAAATTGAAATTTTTGAAATTAATTGAAACTTTAAGTGTTTTGTAATTAAAATTTTAGAAGATTTCACTAAAAATTTATTAGAAAATGCGGACAAAATACAATAATTTAAAAATCATTTTTGATTGATTAATGGTTTCAGATAGTTGAATTTTCAAAAAATATTATTAAAATAGTTAAAAATAATTGAATTTCCTTAGACCCGTGTGGAAAATTGGCAATGGCCCCGTGAGGGGCACTCGTGGATTGCCCTCGTGCCGCATGGAAACCATAGGGGCAATCCACGTGGAGCCCTCAAAGGCGTGACATGCTTTCCCTCATGGTTACCCTCATGGAAAATTTATTATATTTTATTTATAAATTTTATAAATTTATATTATAAAAGTTAATTAATAATAAATAAGCTTAAGTTATGAATAAATAACATATTTATTTAATAATTATTCAATTTTAAATTAAATTCTTACTCAAATTGAATTTATTAATTAACGTTCTAATTAATTAACTGTCGGATATAATTAACAGTAATAATAAATTAATTAATTAAAAAATTAAAAAATATGTAATTTATGCATACTATTAACGGATATTTTCATTTTTCAATTAATTCATACATAGAATTAATGATTAAACGCAAACCTGAGAAATAAATAAATCTAACGCATGGGGGGAATCGAACCTACGACCTACGGACTATGAGTCTAACGCTTTACCAACTACGCTACGCACGCTACTTCAAAACGAATGCTAACTTTTTGATGCTATTTAAACTTAAAAAATACCTAACAAAGAAAAGTGCTTAACATCATTTAGTTAAAGTTAAGATATTAAATTATATTTTCCAATCAAATGCAATTTATAAAATATAATTAATTATATGCTTTATGATTATTATCATGAATCATCTCAGGTGAATTTTCAAAAAAGTGTAAATATATTTTTATTAAAAACGCGTTTTTCGTTGTTTTGAATCATTGGAAACATTCATTTTTTGTTGACGAAAAAATATTTGAATTTTGGACTTAGAAAATTTTGCTAATCGACCATGAGGGCGATCCTTGCGGGCCCCTACGATGGCCCTCATCTATTTTGCCATAAGTGTGAGTGTTATTTTCAAAAAAGTGTAAATATATTTTTATTAAAAACGCGTTTTTTGTTGTTCTGAATCATTATAAACATTAATTTTTTGGTGATAAAAAAATATTTGATTTTTGGACTTAGAAAATTTTGCTAATCGATCATGAGGGCGATCCATGCGGGCCCCTACGGTGGCCCTCATCTATTTTGCCATAAGTGTGAGTGTTATTTTCAAAAAAGTGTAAATATATTTTTATTAAAACCGCGTTTTTCGTTGTTCCGAATCATTGGAAACATTCATTTTGTGTTGATGAAAAAATATTTGAATTTTGAACTTAGAAAAATTTTTGAGCAGGGCACCGTGAGGGCAAATAGCAAGGGCCCTGCTGGAGCCTTGGTGTATTTCCATAACTTTGTACATAGATTTTTAAAAAATGTCACCCAATGTTTATTTCAAGTGCTTTAAAATGTTATTTAATGCATTCTGAAGTAAACATTTATTATACAAAAAAAAATTTTTTTTTTAACTTAGACAAATTTTTGAGCAGGGCACCGTGAGGGTAAAGACCGGGCACCCTGCTGGTGCCCTTGTGGATTTCCAAAACTTGGTACTTAGATTTTTTTTAAATGTCACCTAATGTTTATTTCAACTGCTTTAAAATGTTATTTAATGCATTCTGAACTAAACATTTTTTGGTAAAAAAAAATTTTTGTTTTTGGACTTAGACAAATTTTTGAGCAGGGCACCGTGAGGGCAAATAGCGGGGGCCCTGCTGGTGCCAGCATGGATTTGCCCTCATGGATTTTCCACTTGGGACCCTGCCGGGGGCCCCTATCACGCATGGGACGAACGGGGCGTTTTCCACACGGGGAGTTATAATTTAAATTATTAAATTTCAAAAAAAAAATTTCGATGGAAAATTTTAGAAACAATTAAATTTTAGATGCTTTTAAATTCAAATTATTGAAAATTCAATTAATTTTGATTTCAAATTTTTGAGAATAATGAAATTTTATTTAATTTTAAATTTGGAAAATAATTGAATTTCAGTTCATTTTGAATTGAAAATTTTGGGAAATAATTGAATTTTAATTGAAATTTTTGATAAAAATTTAATTTAAGTTCATTTTTGATTGAAAATTTGGATAATTAATTTTGAATAGAAATTTTAGAAAATAATTGAATTTTATTTCATTTTAAATTGAAAACTTGGTAAATAATTAAATTTTAAATTGAAAATTTTTGATAATTATTGGATTTTTAATTGATTTTGAATTAAAATTTCGGGTAATAATTGAATTTTAGTTTATTTTGAATTGAAATTTTTAAAAAATAATTCAATTT